GGAGCGCGCCGCTGCCCTCCCCTCCCGGCGCTGCCCTCCGCGCGCCTCCCGTGCCCGCAGCCGCCCCGTGCCCGCTGCGCGCTGCCCGCGCTTCCTCCCTGCCCTTCCCCGCCGCGCCCGGCCCCGCGCGGGGAGCAGGTGCCGGGACGGGCCCCGGGCACGAGTTTCCCCCGGCGCTGCCGCTGCCCCCGCCCCGCGTCCTGCAGCAGCCGCGGGCTCTGCCGCGCCGCCCGCGTCCCCGGCCCCGCGCGCGCTGCCGCAGCCGTGTCGCCAAGCCCAGGCCCCGGGGACAGCGCTCCCGAGCCGCCTAGTGCTTCCTAGGGAGAGGCAGGGGCAGGGGAGCGAGAAGCGGGAGCCGCCTGCATCSGGGGCCAGCTGTTTTCGGCTCTCTCGCGGGCCGGCGGTGCTGCGGGGCCCTCATGTAGCTTCTGTTGCCATTTGTTCCGGTTGCAGTACGTACATGTGTCTGTGCACCTGGGCACGCGCTCCTGTGCTCAAGGACTTGGGCTTTTCTGTCAACTTGCTCTTATTTGGCCCTTTCCCCTTTCTAAATCTTTCCTCTAAAGCCAGTTGTTATTTTCTCCCCGCACTGTCTTTTTTGTTTTTCTCTTTCCTTAAAGAAGAGACTGCTTTCAGGCTCTTCTCTGTGTGCTCCTGTAGGTTTTGGGTCCCTATCTTTTCACCTTGGTCTCTGTTGTATTATCTCTTTTTTTCCTCACAGAAATCCTTCTTCCCTCTCTCTCAGACCTCTTCTCCGAGTGGCTCTTTGGAATAGTTGTAATAATATCAATAGTTCCAGCTTGAGAAAATGTACGAAGCCTCGTAGCTTCCTACTCCATTAATAGGTACATGCTTATCCCCATTTTGCAGGTGGGTAGACAGACATAAGAGTAGTAGTAACTTCTGCAAAGCATTGCAGTGATTTTGTGAGCAGCGGGAGAGATGAGTCCTGCTTGTCTGATGTAAGCGCCGGGATGCTGTCTCCGGGAGATGGACTTCCCCACTGGTGTTCTCAGCGTCATCCTGCTGCTCGTCCTTCATTCATCACTCCCTTCGTGTTTYGTTGCCGTGACCATGTAGTCCCTTTTGGCCTGTCCCCGGGCTGTGCTTGCTCCCCGGCCTGCTAGGGGGCTTGAGGGGGCTGCCGATGGCAGGGCGGCCTCGGCTTTAGGCGCTGATCACACGGTGTGTTCAGGGCGCTCATCTGGTTCTCGTGTGTTGTTTCCCTCTCCCCTTTGTCTCCTCTGCTGTCCTTAGTCAAGTCCACTCGGGGTAGGAAGTGCTGCTGGGGCATTTTCATTTCCAGTTTCACAGCTTCTGCTCTTTTTCTTCTAGGGGAGCCTTCTCCGTGGTCCGCAGATGTGTAAAGAAAAGTTCCTCACAGGAGTATGCTGCAAAAATCATCAACACCAAAAAACTGTCAGCCAGAGGTTAGTGTCTGGTTCTGCTTTCTTCCTTTTGTTAATAGAAGGCGTTTGTCTGAAATGAAGTTGTRCTTCAAGGGATTTGGAGTTGGTTGTGTCGGTCATTAGTTATACGTTACAAAATAATCGACGTYGAAGAGAAGCCTGAAAGGAGACAGTGTAGGATGATGGAAGAACCTCTGTATCTGGAAATAGGCGCTTTCTGAAGCGACATTGTCTGTTTTTCTTTTTGATAGCTTTCCTTTGAGAGATGAGCTGGAAGTATAGAAGACTTATCTAGAGATGTGTGTACCAGTCGCTCGTGGAATTGTTGCAGATTGATTTTGCTGAATGACTTTTTCTACTTGGGAGATCTGTTTTGTCAGAAGAGAAGTGATTTTAAAGGTTATTTGCTGTAGGTCTTGCTCCTCTCAGGTTGTAGCTGAACGTGCTGGTSGATTTTTTGTTGGTTTGTTTTTGTTCGTTTTTAAATCCAGTTTCTCTTTGAAGACACAAGTAGGTTGAATGGAGAAATCTTGTAAATTTTATTTTTCAGCAGATTAGTTCTAATAGTTCTTGCTTGCCTCAGCTCCCAGAGTTTTCAAAAACCTGAACCCAGGCATATGGTTTAAGAGAGTCGGTGTGAACTTTGTTCCTTGAACCTTTTCAGGGCCATGTATGTGTATATGTATATGCATGAAGTATAGTGAATGTTTCTCTATATAGGAAGTATGTACAGGAGATCCTTCAGGTTTGACAAAATTTACACGTTAGTTGCTTTGCTGTCTTATTAGTTGAGTGGATGGCGTAGACTCTTAGGGGGCTGACGGAGGAGTGAAACATAAGCAGTAGGAGCAGGCACATGATTTCGGTAATAAAGACTTAGAAGTGAAGACTAATCTGTCTGATCCCATAAAATGTATGATACACTGTTTCTCTYGTGCCAGAATATGAAATGTGATAATAAGAAGATGTCTTGAAGTGTGACAAATAATTTCCATTTACTGTAGTTTACATGGAGAAGTAGTAACACAAGCGAAGAGAGTGTCAGTGTTGTGGAGGAGGCTGGTTTTCAGGATTCTGGAGGTTAAGTGTGTGTGATAATTTGTATTTTTTTTTTTGGTATCTAGCCTGAGTAAAGTGCGAAGTCATGTCGGGGACCAAGGTGCCTTGGATGGGCCGGGAGAAGGAGGCGGCTGCCGAGCCTGCGTGAACTGGCGTCTCGTCCGCAGTCAGGTGGCAGTGCCCACTGCAGTAGGTGGGACACCCAATCTCTCGAGTTCAAAATTAGTTCAACTCGATATGGGAGAGGCTCGAAGGGCGGTTCTGCTCTGCTGAAGGCCGCCGTGCTGTGCTCTCCCTGCAGCGTTGCCCCTCCGTGCTGTAGCTGGTGCTGGCTGGGAGGGCCGGACTCCGCTCCGAGGTGGAGGTGGGCACCTAAGCGCCAGCTCCCGGAGGCAGAGCTTGGCTCGGTAGACTCCTTGCAAATGAGAGACCATTTTCTCGCAGAAGGGATGGCATTGAAATTAACTGTGGTAGAGATAAGAGAAATGAGGACCGCTGCAGGACTAATAGAGTCCTAACAAAATCCAAACGCATATCACATATCTGAAAGAAGTAGAGAATGTGATTGTGTCAAATTTGAAGTGTTTGAGCTGCTAGTGAGCAACGGAGGGAGCGATATATGGATTTTAATTGCTTTTTCATATTAAGGTGATGACAGTTTTATGAACCACCAAGTAGGCGGAGTAACTATGGACGAATACTGGCTATATTCTGATCTACTGCTAACCTTGTGTATTTAACCCTTGCACATTGGTAAATATATTGGGGATACTAAGTTGCTCCTTAGCTGCTTAACGTGAAGGAGCTGGAAATGCTTTACCTGCAAAGGTGTGGGTTAGGTAGAGGGCAAGCTTAGGGTGAGCCAAGAAACAAAAAACGTGTTTATGCTGAAACAGAGAAATGTTAGAAACAAGTAGTAGTCAATGACTAAGTTCTCTTGAAGTCTGAGTGCTAAAGAATCAGCATTTAAATTGGTAAGTGTGTTTGTGGACTGACTTCAGCTGAGTATGTAGGTTCATCAGTAATTCCAGCTGTGTTCACTGATAGCTCAAGTGGTTAGTAGGAGAGGGGACCAAGCACCAGGTGCCAGTGTTGATATAGGAACTTAGCAAATTCACCTTGGAATGCCTCTTTAATGCACTGAGGGGAAAATAAATGCTGTTCATTCATTGCAGCTGTAAATCGGAGATTAGAGAGATTGGGTCCAGCTACCTGGAAATGGAAGATGAGGACAATGGCATTATAGAGAGCTGTCTGTTATGGCAGGGAACCATGGCATTAATTCTGTGGGGTCCTGGCTGTGCTTTGTCTGATGCCTCCTTGCCCTGAGTGAGCGTGTGCGCCCGCTGCCCGTGTGCCCCGTGACATCCCTGTGCTGCGGCTCTGTGCCGGCCTCCCACGCTCCCAGGTGGGTTCCAGGCTCTGCATAGCTCCCAAAAAAGATTCCTTCAAGTGTGGGACACCCTGCCCCTTCACACCTCAGCTTTGCTAAGCTGCATGCCCTGCACCCTGTGCAGCAGAGCTGGGAGCTGCAGCAGCCGCAGGCAGTGAGAGCCGCTTGGCCACGCAGCAGCGTGTGGCTGGTGAGGAGCACGGCTCCTCGCTGCTCCGCGCGAGCCGGGCCTGCTGCCGAGCTGCCCGGGGCCGTGTCTGGGAGCAGGAACGCCGGGTTGCTCTCCTGCCACAAACGCTTCTTGTTACCAGCTCTTTTCAAGAACTTTCATGTACGTAGCTGACTGGGAGTGCTGGATAGCTCAATACGCGTAACAGAAAGGAGAAAGAGGAACGCTTGAGGGCAAACTGTGTGTGTTGAAACCCTTCTCTGTTACTTGGCATGTTTATCAAACCAGCCTTTCAAAGCAGTAGCCAGCTGAAGAGGCTTGGTGCCTTACAGGGCTGCCCTCTGAAAGCAGGGAAAACAAACGTGGTGCTCGTGGTTCTGAGGAGCAGTCCTCACGGCTCCACTCCAGTCAGCCTCGTCTTTTGTAGAACAGTAAGTCAGGTGTCGAGAGGAGAGTCTCTGTTTCATATTTGTGTCTTTTTAGGATGCCTATTCTCTCTCTTATTTCTTTTAAAAAAAACTATATATCAAGTCTGGCTAGGTTAAAATTCACATTTGGACTTTAAAGAACTACCTAATTCATGCTGTGTAGATGCCTATGACTGCCCTATGAAGTCTTAACATATCAAGAAGTTTAATGTTAAGCATTGGCCAAATGCATGTGGAAAGGGGAGAAAAATAGTCTTTGCTTTAGTCAGCTTTCAGCTGACATGTAAGAGCAGTGGTTATTAGACATGTGGGAAATACAATGCCCCAGTCATCCGAAATTCCTATGGGACTGAACATGCAGGCTCTCACCAGGGCTGTGGGCAGAGGGAAGTAATAACTGTAATTTGTGGGAAGTTTTCTTGTGGGTGTCCTCAGATTACTTTCTAACTATGAAAATTCATAGAAAGTAATGCTTTAGTTCCTGGGCAGTGATGAGTTTCGGATCATTGTAAGCAATTAGTATATAAAAGTTAAAAGAGAAGTAATAGAATTACAGAGAAATTTCCAGGAATTGACTTTCCAAAAATAGAGTGTCTTTGGTTGGAAGAAAGTTTCTTGAGGGTGGTGATGGAAGGCCCAGTTATCACTTATTTGGGATAGAGAAACTTAAAATGTGTTTAGAAGATAGTCCTGTATTGGAAAGAGGTAGGCAGAGATCCTTCCTGTGATGATTCTTAGGATATTGTTCATGTCATGCAGCTGAGTAACGTGTAACGATCCTACTAGCAGGTCTGTGGAACAGGGCTTTTTGGTTCTCGTGTTTTGGGGAAATCTCTGTGCATTACATCTGTTGCTGAATTAGCTTACTGCTGAAAATCTGTGTCTTTGAGCAAGTGACGTCCCTCGRGGACAAAGCCAAGAGCGGCATCTTGGGCCCCCTCCCTCCTTGCGCCCTCCCGCCCGTGCCCCACACRGGGAGGTGGGTTCCCTCCCTGCTCTCCGTCTGGCAGGAACGAACTTAAAAAGGAGATCTTAATTTGCAGTCTCCCCGGCTGACTTTGCTCCTGCAGGAGATTATGTGGATTGTGGGAGGAGCAGGGAATTGCTGCTGTGAACGAAGCGCCGATGCCCAAGGGCTGCCTGTGCAGCTCCGCTCCGCTCGTGCGGCTCGCTCGCCGGCTGCTCCGGAGCCGCTCCCGGTTGGGCTTTAGCGTTTGGCGGGAGGTGGGTAGTGGTTACCTGAGCATGGAGCTCGAGCGCTGCAGGGGCTGTCGAGCTGCCTCCGTCCCTGCCCTGYGCTCTGGGGACTCCGTGTGTTCTTAGCCCGCTGCTGCGTTGGGCTCCTCACTGTTCGTGTGGCTGCCGGCTCTCCAGTGCCCCGTGGCCACRGGACAGCAAGGGCAGCCCCGCGCGTGGCTGCAGCACGGGCTCTGTGCAGCGAGCAGTGTCCTGCGCTGTCCGTGCRCTGGGCACCAATGTCCTTTCTCGCGGAGCTGCCGGAGCGGGTCTGCTCTTAGCTGCGGGAGAGCGGCCGCCCTTGCTGCGCGGCCGGCCCCTGTGCTCCCGCGCGGGAGTCGGGAGATGCTGTGRCCAGGTCCGGCCCCTGTGCTCCCGTGCTGCGCGGCGGCCGCGGGGAGCGGCGCGGGCAGGGCGCCGCGGGAGCGCAGCGGGCATGCGTGCGGCGCGGGGCTCGCGCTGATGTCATGGGCYGCAGCCTTCCTCCCACCTCCTCTGCCTCCGTCCCGCCACGCAGCTCCGCAGCGAGGCCGCGGGGCTCCGCGCGCTGCTRCAGCCGAGCTGGCTGGGGATTAAAGGAGGAAAAAGCGGGGAGAGATCCTGTTCCTGCAGGGGTGGCCAAGGGGTGCAGAGCACCGGCTGTGGTGCRGGAGCCGTGGGGACGGCGGGCGCCGCCTTTGCTGCGGCCCCACGCTGCCTTCCTGCCTCCGTGCACGGTTGGGGTTACCCCAGGCTG